TGTTAACTATCTCAATCTCTTCACCATTCATACTGATGCTGCCAATTGGCCCAGTGGTGAGAATCTTTGTTTTCTTGATGTTGAGCTTCAATCCATATAGGAGGCTGCAGTCCTTGACCTTCTGCAGCAAGCACTTCAAGTCCTACTCAATTTCAGCAAGAAGGTTGAAAACCTTTTTCTAAAATTTCTATAATTTGATTTGGGATCAAGACTTATTCCCACCATTATTTTAACATACAACTGTTTGGTAGTATAGTTTGGCTTTTTTAAAAAAGAAAAAGAAAATGTAACCCCAAAAAAAGACTCAGCCACATAGGAAAACAATTTATCAAAAAGTGTAAACATGAAATTACCAAATAGGCCAGCAATTCTACTCCTAAATACATATATAAGAGAACTAAAAACACTGCTTCACATAAAAAGTTGTACATGAGTGTTTACAGCAGTATTTCTTATTCTAGCCCAAGAACAGAAACAACTTGAATGCCCTCAGTTAATGAGTAAACAAAATGTTCTTGAACCACATAATGAAATATGATTCAGTCTTTTGAAAAAAAGATAATAAAGTAATGATACCCATACAATACAGATGAACCTTGAAAATGTAAGGGGGGGAGTATGTGAGAGAGAGAGAACAGTTATGAAAGAACACATATTGTATTATTCCATTTATGTGGTCTATCTAGAACAGACAAATCCATAGAGATTTGTAGATTCAAAATATGAACAGTAGGAGAAGATTATGAGAATGACTGCTAATGGGTATGAAGTTTCTTTAGGGATTGCTGAAAATGTTCCAAAATTAGAATGGTGATTGTTGCACCATGTTTTGAGCACCACTAGATTGTTGTTGTTGTTTGCCAACGAGGTGGAATCGACTCATAGCTGACTCTCCAGTGAGTTTTCAGAAGCAGTAAATCCCACAAAAAGAAATTACCCATCCTTCTCCCATGGAGCAGCTGGTAGAGTCAAACCATGTGCCTGTGAGATTGCAGCTTGGTTTCTTATCTCTAGGCCACCAGAGCTCCCATATATTTTTATATACT